TCAGGTGAGGATCAGATGCTCTCAGGCTTTCTCCTAAGGTCTTGTTCCCTCCAGGAAAGATTTTGGCCTCAGGAATTTGGGGGTTGGAATGGCCTGGGAGTGGGGCCCAGGAAAGATGGTGGTCTAGCACAGTGGGTGGCCATGCCACCCAGAGATGCAAAGGAAGATGCGGGCAGGAAGAAGCCCCAAGGGCTCCTGGGAACTGCACTGAGGAGCTGGGTTGGTCACCACGAGAGGCCTCGGGGTCAAGATAGGCCTTGGGGTCATGCAGGCCCAGGGAAGCAGAGGGAGTTGAGGGCAGGGCCAGGCCCAGAGTGCTCAGGGGAGAGAGCTAAGGTTCGGAGAGAGTCCTGTAGGTTGTGTAGGCCCAGGGAAGCAGAGGGAGGTGAGGATGGGGCCTGGCCCAGAGTGCTCCTGGGAACTCCCGAAGGAACTGAGTTCCTCTGGATGCAAAGGATCAGGAAGTAATGGTGGTTCCCCAGGTGTCTGGGGCACCAAGACAAGGAATGGAACAGGACCCCAGCTAGGAGGAGAGACCAGCCTATGTATTTATTTTTCATGTTATGTATATGAGTGTATTGTCTGCATGTATGTGACTGCACCTGTGTCAAGCAACGCAGTTAGAAGACAGCTTCAGAGTCCCCTGGAACTGGAGTTAAGGACGGTTCGTAGCGCCATGTGGGTGCTGGGAACTGAACTGGGGCCCTCTTCAAAAGCAGTCAGTGCTCTTAACTGCTGAGCCATCTCTCTAGTCCCAGAACACTACTCTTACATGAGTAAGCAATGCAAAGAGAAAAGTAATTCCATACTACTTGAAGGATTATCTTCTGCATTAGGGTTCCTTTTTGTTTCCTTGCTTGCTTGTAGTGAGAACAGCAGAAGAAAGGCAAAATATCACAGAAAAATCTTCCATGACATAAACAGGGTGAAACAAAGAATCAAGAAAACAAATGACCCAATGAAAACATGGGCTAAAAATCTAACAGAGAGCTCTCTAAGGAAGAAATAAAGATGTCTAAGAAACACCTCAAAAAGTGTTCAACGTTGTTAGTAATTAGGGAAATGCAAATTAAAACCACCCTAAGGTATCACCCTACCCCAATCAGAGTGGCTAAGATCAAGACAACAAATGATACCAAATGCTGGAGAGGATGCGGAGAAAGGGAAACACTCATTCACTGCTGGTGAGATTGCAAACTCATGCAACCTCTATGAAAAACAGTGTGGAGAACTCTTAAAAAACTAAAAATGAACCTACTATATGACTGAGTTATACCAGCTGCAATCAAGATCCAATATTCATTGTTTGGGCAAACTAAGAGGTAAGGTTAAAAAGTTATTAGAATTCCTGCTTATTCATAGAAGAATTCCTTTCTCTTATTGTAAGTCAGTTATTTATCTCAAGTATTAAAATTTTAATGTAACAATTTGAATTTAGGAAGCTGTAACACACATTTATTTTTGTCTGTAAGGACAGACTAGTTTCAAGTACAGTCTTCCATAAGAAATAATGGTCACTGGAATCCTGCTGCTAGAACATTTAACAATGCACAGTGAAAGGGAGCTCTATTTTTCCAGAAGAAGCAGCACATTCCAGCTTGTATTGGCAGTGCACCTGTCTCCACAGAGACTTAAGATTTTTTCACTGGCTTTACGTTACTTAATCCTCATTTCATTACCTCAGAGGGAGAGTTAGAAAGTAATACATTTTACCAAGGGCAAAACAAAAAAAGGAGAAAAGGCCCAGCAAAAATGTCACAGAATCCAGCCTGTGAAATAGGAGATTAAAGAGACAAAAAGATTCCTCACCAGGTAAAGGCTGCCAAGACCTGAGTTCCATCTCCAGGTCCCACATGGTAAAAGGAGAGAAGTGACTCCCACAGGTTATCCCCTGACTTCCCCAAGTGTGCAGTGGTATACAAATATACATACATACCCATGCACAAACAAATTAATTAAATGTAATTTTAACTTTGAAGGGGGAGAGAGAGATAGATGAGAGAGAGAGAGAGAGAGAGAGAGAGAGAGAGAGAGAGAGGAAAACAAAGAATGAGAGAATGAGGTAGATAGGACTAATACTTAAGCTATAACACCTTCCAAAAGGTCCTGCTGCCTGAAAGGACCTTACACATTCATCGCCATTCAGCATTCCTAGGCAATGGGAGCATGAGGCAGACCTGTAGTCTTCTAGTTGAGGCAGGCGAATAAGAGCATACATGGAAGACATGCTGGGCATAGTAATGCATGCCTTTAATCTCAGTACTTGGGAGGCAGAAGGAGGTAGATTTCTGTGAGTTGAAGGCCAGACTGGTCTACATATAGAGTTCATGGTCAGCCAGGGCTAGAGAGTGAGACCATGTTTCAAAACACAAAAAATAGTTAGGCCTGGTGGCACACACCTTTAATCCTAGCACTCAGGAGGTAGAGGCAGGTAATCTCTGAGAGATTAAGGCCAGCCTGGGACTACAGGCAGGCAATGTATTAAGAAACTGGACAAGGAATATTATATTACATGCCATATTAGAAAATAAGTCTTAGTCAGGGTGTTGGTATGTGACCTTAAGCCCAGCACTCAAGGGGCAGAAGCAAGTGATTCTCTGTGAGATCAAGGTCAGTCTGGTCTAAGTAGCAAGTTCCAGGCCAAGGAAGGAAGGGAGGAAGTGGGGAGGAGGGAGGGGGGAGAAAGGAGGGAAAGAGGGAGGGAGGAAAGAAAGAGAAGAAAAGAGAAGAGAAGAGAAGAGAGAGAAGAGATAAGAGAAGAGAAGAGAAGAGAAGAGAAGAGAGGAGAAGGGAGGGGAGGGGAGGGGGGAGGGGAGGAGAGGAGAGGAGAGGGGG